CAGAGCCTGGAGCCTGCTTTAGATTCTGTGTCTCCCTCTCTCTCTGCCCTCCCCTGTTCATGCTCTCTCTCTCAAAAATAAATAAACATTAAAAGAAAATTTTATAACATGGGCAATATCACTACCCATTAGTAATCCAGCTAAAAAAATTCTTTTAAAGGTGGCAATGTAAAATGCTGGTAAGGATGCAGAGAAACTGTATTTTTTATACATTGTTGGTGGGACTGTAAAATGGTACAGCCACTCAGGAAAAGTTTGGTAGCTTCTTGTGAAATTAACATCCACTTACAATAAAACTGAGAAAGCACACTCTAAGGCATTTATCCATAAGAAAACCTATGGTTTTTTTGTGTTTTTTTTTTTGTAATGCTTACTATTTTTGAGACAGACAGTGAGCAAGCAGGGGAGGGGCAGAGAGAGAGGGAGACACAGAATTGGAAGCAGGCTCCAGGCTCTGAGCTGTTAGTACAGATCGTGACCTGAGCTGAAGCCAGCTGCCCAATGGACTGAGCCACCCAGGCACCCCAGAAACCTATATTTACATGAGGACTTGTATATGGATGCTCATAGCAGCTTTAAAAGACCCCAAATGCTGAGCAACCCAAATGTCTTTTCAATGAGCAAGTGTTAAAACTGGTAAATCCACCATACTAAGTGATACTACATAGCAATAAAAAAGAACCACCTATTGATAGACACAACTTGAATGAATCTCAGGGGAATTACACTGAGTGAAAAAGCCAAAGTCAAAGGGTTGCATACTACATGATTCTACTTATATAATATCCTCAAGATGACAAAATTATGGCAATACAGAGCAGACTTGCTGCTAGAAGACAGGGACAAAGGACGGGAGGGTGTGTAAATGCAAAGTACATGAGGGAGTTATTTTGTGGGGATAGAACAGTTCGGCACCTTGATTGCTGTGGTGATTACATGAATCTATGCATGGGATTAAATTACATTGAACTTCACACTCATACACATACACACATACACATACCAATACCAAAAAAATTAATGCAGGTTTTATGAAAAGGAAAAACTGACTAAAGTCTGTGAACAGTGATATCAGTATAAATGTCCTGGTTTTGATACTATATAAGCCGAATGAGATGTCACCGCTAGAAAACTAGGTGAGGAATACATGGGACTGTCACTATTTTTGCAACTTCCTGTAAACCTATAATTATTTCAAAATAAAAAGGTGTTTTTTTAACAATGAGCAAAGGATCTGAACACTTCTCCAGAAAATACATATAAATAACAAATAAGCACCTCACAAAATTCTCAGCATCATTAGTTATCAAGAAAATGCAAATTTAAGCACAATGAGATAATCACTGTAACTGCAGTAGGGTAGCTAAACTTAGAAAGAATAACAATACCAAGTATTGACAAGAATGTGGAAGTAGCTGGATCTCTCACACGCTGGGGAAGTACAGCCATTTGGAAAACAGTTTGTCAATTTCCTATAAAAGCAGAGAAAAAGGTAAGAACCAAATGACCCAGCAATCTAACTCTTAGGTATTTACTCAAGAGAAATAAGAACACAAGCTCACAGCAGCTTTATTTCTAAAGCCGAATACTAGAAACAATTCAAATATTTCTTAACAGGAGAGTGAACAAACAAATCATAGTATATCTGTAAAATGGAATAATACATCAATAAAATGGGTGAATCTCAAAAAAACGTACACGATAAAAGAACCCAGATGCAAAAGAGTACATACTATATAATTCCATCTATATGAAAGGCTAGGAAAAGCAAATTTAATCTGTAGTAATGAAAAGAAGATGAGCATTTGCCTGGGACCAAGGGTTGGAGGGGCAGGAAATGGCTTGGGAATGAGCACAAAGGAAACTTTTGTGTGATGGAAATTGTTCTGTATCTTGATTATGTTGATGGTTACATGAGTGTGAACATGTGTCACCACTTGTACCATACGTGTAAAATGTATGCAATTGGGGAGAGCTAAAGTGTGCTTCAGTAAAATTGATTTTTTTGAAACGAGAGGCCCCAAGGTCTTCCTGGATTTGCAAAAATAATAATGAAAGGTAAGTCAAAGGTAATAGTGATTAATAGAATAATACTGCCATTAACAAGCATGCGTCTTTCAGGAAGCCCAAAAGACCTCCTTTCATTGCTGTTTGCAAACTATTCTTCCTTAGGTGTCTCTTATCTCAGTGAACAGCATCCTCAGATATGCAAGACAGAAAAATAGCAGATGTTTTTACATTTCTCTTTTCCCTTCACCCTCAAATTCTCAAATCTGATCAATTACTCAATACTGCCAATTGTGTCTACTAAATAGATTTCAAAGGTGTTGATTTCTGTCCATCTGCATTATGATCACACTAGTCCAAGCCTTCATCATCTCTCACCTGTACCACTACAAAGTCTACCAAATCGGTCTCCCTGCATTTACTTTTACCTCTGGAATTACCTTACCTCAGTCTGTACTCGTTGCAAATGATAGAAATTCTGTCCAAACTAGATTATTAAAAAAAAAAAAAAAAAGGAAATATATTCACTGGACCATATAACAAAAGAGGAAGTGAACTAGTCATGACTAGACCTATGGATTTGCCCAGTTTATTCATGAATTCATCTTTCTCTCCATCTCTTACTTGTGCTTTCCTCTGTGTTGATTTTTAAATTTTTTAATGTTTATTTTATTTTTAGAGAAATTGAGAGAGCATGTGAGCAGGGTAGTGGCAGAGAGGAGACAGAAAATCTGAAGCAGGCTCAAACCCATGAACTGTGAGATCATGATCTGAGCTGAAGTCAGACACTCAATAGACTGAGTCACTCAGGCGCCCCCCTCCGTGTTGATTTTCTTCTCAGATGCCTGTCCTCAAATGATGGAAATGTTGCTCATCTTTTCCTTGATGCTCTGACCTGGCCATTATAGATAGTAATCTCAGAGAGACAGGGATTATCTTTTTCCTGATAGTTTGAGCAGAAATCCTAGAGAGAGTACTGATTAGTCTAACTTGAGTTCTATGCCCACCCCTGAACCAAACACTGAGGCCAGGAGAACAGGGAACTCTGATTAGTTATATATTAAATGGGTTCTGCTCCCATCCCTGTGATGGGGGAGAGGGAGAGTCAGTTCTACTCAAATCACATGGACTGGGATCCCTACAAGCAGAGGAGTTCTGTTACTAGAAGTGGAGGGAAAGGGATAGTGTGCTAGATGAACAAAAATTCTAACTCAAAGTTCACTTCCTTTCTCCTTAGAGCAGGCAATTCTTTTATTTTAAGTAATTCCTACACCTGACATGGAGTTTGAATTCATGACCCTGAGAGCAAGAGTCAGATGCTCTACCAACTAAGCCAGCCAGGTGCCCCTATTTTATTTTATTTTTTTAACTAATCTGATGTTATATTGTTCTCCGGCTCCAAATCTTCCTATGCTTTCTATTACTCTTAGAATACAATTTAAAATCTTCCATAAGGCTCAAAGACCTTCATGCTCTAAATCTACCACACTAGACTAAATTTTATGTCACTACTCTCCCTTCATTCTCTCTTCCAGAAACCCTAGATTTTCTGCCTTTTTTTTTTTAAAGTTTCTTTAACGCAGCATACTTCCTCACAATTCAAGTCATTGACTCCTGGACACATCCGTAGTATCTCCATTAGAGAGCATCTAGTCATTTTGAAAGCTCAGCTCAGACATTCCTTCCTTATTGAAGTTTTTCTGACTCCCCAGATTTGGACAAATTCCCCCAGTTGAACTCGCCCATGGCACCTGTGCATCTCATTTATAGCATGCGTCTCAATTGTAATTACATAGTCATTAAGATAATTATTGCCTACTCTCTGATCTCTCCTGTCAGAATGTAAGCTCCATCAGAGCTAAGACTTATCAAGTCATTCACCAATATAGTCCTAGCACCTGGCCCAGTGCCTAGAAGAAAGAAAGCACTTGATATTTTTCTTCAGTAAATGAAGAAATTTGGTGAGGAACCAGAAAAAGCTGATAAATTTGGTTTTAGACAGACCGAATTTGAAATCATGACAAGGCAAGAAGTTAGAAAATTTGTAAAAGATAGTTGTAAATACAAAAATGCCATGGTGAATAAAGTCCTGTATTCCATGGGAATGTGTCTTTCCAAAAAAAAAACAAGTATCAAAATATCAAAAATGTATGTTGCTTCAACAAATAAAGATTTATTGTGAACTGGTGAACCTGGGACTATAAAAGCCCTGGTCCATTCGGGAAGTATTTACTTTCTATACAACTAGTGCTTTACTTACAAACTCATCCCAAAGTGGAGTGCCAACCACAGGCAGAAAAGGAAGGAAAAATATTGCACACAGAGATGTGAGGTAATTTTAGTTTTATTTGCACAAGCCATTCGCCTCAGAAACTGCAGTCAGACTTAGAGATTCAAACAACCCCTGTAGTAAGTACATTTTCTACCATCCTTTCCCTTAGTAAACAGCTTTTGAAGACACTAAAAGCCCAGGCTTTCTTTCTGAGAAGAGTCCAGTGTTCTGTGTCTTTTTTAACATCCTCTTCTCCTCCAGACCCACTCTCTACTAAACAAAGGTTTTGCTTGTTTGGGGTTATTCTGAGCCTAAAGAGTACTTCTCAGGAGAGTAGTCTAAAGGGTGTTTCTGTATTTTCCTTCCTGAGGTGTGTGGAAGAAGAAGAAAAAAAAAACCTGCCACAGTGACACTCCCATTCAAAACAGCCCAACAATCATTTTTCTTCATATTTAACAGTAAGTAGCTAGAGTTCTAGAACATTCAGGTATATCAGTGCTCATGAAGAAAAATACAACTGATGTTTTCCAAAACCAATTCTGGTTATAAAATATTGATATTTGGCTGTTTTTTAAAAAACATTAAGTGTCCAAACCTAAAGGAAAAAATGATGGGGATGAGGGGGAAAAAGTATGAGAGAAAAGAAACAGCTGTGCTTCAGTTTTATGCAAAAGTTCAACCAAACCCTTACTAAATTTATAGTTTATGTTGTCAGCAGCAAATGAAAAAACCTTAAGACAAGGAAAGGAAAGAAAAGCAGATGAGAGACCCTTAGAAGAGAAGGTTTGCAGCGGGAGGAAAGGAAACATGTGAGGCCTTCTTTGAAGGTGAGTTTGGACTTCAGTATCTTTTTGTAACTTCTCCTCCAAGAATTTTCTCCATATGCAAGCCACATGTGTTGCCTACGACATTTCCAAAGAGGAACAGGAGAATAAAGAGTTAGCATGAGCTGAGAAATAGGAGAGTTTCTCAGCCACTTGTCCACTCGCCTTCTCCATGTTGAACTATCCTCCTCCTGCTGCTTTTCGTTCTTTTGCGGAACAGGGACAGCGAGGAGCTGTCCTGTGTTCAGGGACAGAAGCCTGAACACAGGACAATCACCATAAGCACATTGTATTACATACGGCCTCAAGGTTCAGAAATAGAGGGAGGTAGGAAATACCATGCTAATCAGGCCTGCACAGGACTAGAGGTTCTGTATATCTATTTTTTCAAGTTTATGTATTTATTTTGAGAGAGAGCATGCATGCAGACTGGGGAGGGGCAGAGAGAGAAAGAGAGAGAGAATCCCAAGCAGCCTCCATGCTGACAGATCGATCCCACAAACCATGAGCGTGGGTCTATCCCACAAACTATGAAATCATGACCTGATCCAAAATCAAGAGTTGGATGTTTGGGGCACCTGGATGGCTCGGTTGGTTAAATGTCAGACTTCAGATCAGGTCATGATCTCCTGGTCCATGGGTTTGAGTCCCACGTTGGGCTCTGTGCTGACAGCTTAGAGCCTTCAGCCTGCTTTGGATTCTGTGTCTCCCTCTCTCTGCTCATCCCCATTTGTACTCTGTCTCTCTCAAAAGTAAATAAACATTAAAAATTTTTAATAAAAAGGAGTTGAACATTTAACTGATTGAACCACCCTGGTACCCCAACTATATATCTCATTTTTAAGTGTACTTGGGCTGATCCTCCATTTTTCCAAACCCTTCTTTTTTCTGTTTATTAACACTTAAAATTTCAGACCAAAAAAACCAATCTTGTGAAAGAAAAGGCACATTTGGTTAAATCATTAAAATTGTGTAAATCATTGCTACTATAGTTCAGAAAACAAGTTTTGACATGTGTGTGAGAATAGGGAAGAGTGAGGAGGGAGTGCTTGTGAAGCACCAAGAGTAAGAGTATAGCAGACCCAGCTAGGAGAAGTTGTCCAAGGGCTGAGTACTACAAAGGTGTGGCTATTCTCTAAGATGCCAATGTTACAGATAAACAATAACACCCCATTCACACATAATTGAGATTAAAACATCCAGGTGATACCATAATAGCTATAGAAGGAAGTGGCTTCCTACAGAACCTGCGATTACAGCCCCAATCCCCAAAAAGATGAAATTTCTTCTGGTTTCACCCATTAAAATAGTGTCAATGGGGTACTTGGGAATCTTATCATATATTATATACATACTGCTATGGCTGAATTGTCTGCCGCCAAAATTCACATGTTGAAGCCCTAACCCCCAGTGTGATGATGATATTTGGAGACAGAACTTTTAAGAGGTAATTAGTGTCAGATGAGGTTGTGAAGGTGGGACCTGCATCTGCTAGGATTAGTGTTCTTCAAGAAGAGATACAAGAAAGTTTGCTGCATCTCTCTCTACCATGTAATGACATAGCAAGAAGGCAGCCATATGCAAAACAGGAAGAGGGCCCTCCCCAGGAACTAAATTGGCTGCCACCTTGACTTTAGATTTCCCAGCCTCCAGGACTGTGAGAGTTGGGTTTCTATGGCTGGCTTAAGTCTCCCATTCTATGGTATTTTGTTATGGTAGCCCAAGGTGACCAATCCAGATTTTGGTACCAAGAAGTGGGATGCTACTATAACACCTAAAAATTTGGAAGCAGTTTTAGAACTACATAATAGGTAGAAGCTAGAAAAGTTTTGAAGTATATGCTAAAAATATGAACAGTAAAGGCAATCCTTTTTTTTTTCTTTTGAGAGAGAGAGAGCGTAAGCAGAGGAGGAGCAGAGGGAAAAGGAGAGAGAATCTCACAACCATGAGATCATGACCTGAGCCAAAATCAAGAATCATATGCTTCACTGATAGAGCCACTCAGGCACCGCTAAAGGGAATTCTGATGATAGCTCAGAAAGAAAAGAGGAGAGTGGGAGAGAAAGCTTCCATCTCCTAGAGAATACATAAATAACAGTGAACAGAATGTTGATAGAAATATGGATGGGGGCGCCTGGGTGGCTTAGTCGGTTAAGTGTCTGACTTTCGCTCAGGTCATGATCTCGCGGTTCCTGGGTTCGAGCCCCGCGTCGGGCTCTGTGCTGACTGCCGGCTCAGAGCCTGGAGCCTGTTTCAGTCTGTGACTCCCTCTCTCTCTGACCCTTCCCTGCTCACGCTGTCTCTCTCTCTCTCTCCTAGAAATAAATAAAAAACATTAAAAAAAAAAAAGAAATATGGATGTTAAAGGCCATTCTGGTAGGGTCTCAGATGGAATGAGGAACAGCTTATTGGAAACATCAGGAAAGGAGACCCTGATTAAAATGGGGCAAAAATGGGGCTGAATCATGTTTTATGTTCTGTAGGAGAAAGAAGTTATAAACAGTGAAACTGGATATTTAGCCAAGGTGATTTCTAAACAAAGTGTTGAAGGAGCAGCTTGATTTCCCTGATTGCTTAAAGTAAAATGCAAAAAGAAGGAGACAAATTAAAAAAGAGAGTATTGAGCAAACAGGAACCTGGCTTTAGAAAATTCAATCTATACATATTGCAAAAACAAAAACAAAAACAAAAAACAGTTCTGAACAGAATATAAGGGTGTGGCTGAACAACCATTAGATGAAAAGACCATAGGTGTGACTCATGGATTTAATCAGCCATCTCAGCAGAAACCAGGAATAGAAATGGGATTTTACTGGCAGAAACAGTGGCAGTAGGTACTAATAGAGACAGGGAGAAAAAAAAAAAAGACAGAATGAAGAAAGGCTGTCAGAACTCCTAGATCCTATAGTACCAGACCATAGAGCTATTCAGCTAACAATGTGCACTGGTCAGGCCCCCTGGGTGGCTTAGTTGGTTGAGCAACAGACTCTTGATGTCAGCTCAGGCTGTGATCTCATGGTTCCTTGGATTGAGCCCCCTCACATCGGGCTCTAGGCTGACAGTGTGGAGCCTGCTTAGGATTCTCTCCTCTCTCTCTGTCTCTCTCTGTCTCTCTCTCTCTCTCTGTGTGTGTGTGTGTGTGTGTGTGCCCCTTTCCTCTACACTCTCACTCTCACTCTCTGTCTCAAAATAAACAAATAAATGTTAAGGAAAAAACAAAAACAAACAATGTTCACAGGTCTGGTCTTTAAGAAAAGGGTAGAATGACCCCAAAGGCAATTCAACAATCATCAGAGCTGCCTCCTCTCTTCCAAAGGGTGAGTCCACCACTTTGGTTACAAGAAGCCAGGTGGATTCTCCCTGATGTCTGGGGGGGCGGGGGGGGGGGGTGACCTACCCTGCAGAGTCATAGGATCAGGGCTCCCTGGAGCCTTGAGAGCCAGCCTTGCCCAGCAGAGCTTTGGGGGTGGGAATACCATGTCAATGGGTCTGAAAGGTAGGATCCTGCCCCTGTGGGTATGGAAGGTGGGAATTCAGCAAAAGAGATTCAAATTTTAGGGAATTTCCCATGCTAGGCCTTTGACTTGTTGGCATGCCTTACCTCTTCTATTCTATTTCTCTTTGAAATGGGAATATCTATTTTATGCCTCTCCCACCATTGTATTTTGGAAGTACATAATTTGTCTGATTTCACAGTTTTACAGCTAGAGAGGGATTTTAAATTATACTTAAATGACTTTGGACCTTAGACTTTAGAGTGGATGCTGGAATGAGTTAAGACTTGGGGTAACTGGACAGAATTGCTGTATTTTGCATAAAATAAAGACATAAATTTGGGGGGACCAGAAGCAGAATTATATGGATTAAATCATATTCCTCCAAAATTTGCATGTTGAAGCCCTAACCCCCAGTGTGATGATATTTAGAGATAGAACCTTTGGGAGATACTTAAGATTAGATGAGGTTGTGAATGTAGTGCCCTAATTTGATAGAATTAATGTCCTTATAAGAAGAGACACCAGAGAGCTCCCTGCTTCTCTCTCAGCCATGTGACGACACAAGAAGGCAGCGCTCTGTAGACCTGGAGAATTCTCAGCAGAAACTGAATCTGATGGCACCTTGATTTTGGAATTCCCAGGCTCCAGAACTGTGAAAATTAGAATTCTATTGTTTAAGCTATCCAGTCTCTGATATGTCTGTTATGTCAGCCCAAGAATACTAATACACATACGAATATGTATTATACACATATATTATGATTCACAAATTATGAATATGTATTATATACATATATTATGATTCATAAATGGTATCCATTCTACAGAAATAATAACAAGAATGTGTATAACAATGTTCATTACAGTTTATAATGGAAAAAATAGGGAACAGCATTGTATTAGTTTCCTACAGCTGGTATAACAAAGCACCACACATTAAATGCCTTGAACAGAAATATACTATCTCATAGTTCTGGAAGCTAGAAGGCTGATATCAAGGCTTGAGCAAGACCATGCTTTCCTCTGAAACGTGTAAGGGAATCCTTCTTTGATTCTTCCTAAGTTCTGGTGGTTTTCTGCCAATCATTGGCATCCCTTGGCCAGAGTTCCAATTCTCCATCTTCACATGGCATTCTCCCATTGTCTTCATATCATCTTCTTTCTATACATGTCTGTCTCTGAATCCAAATTTTCCTCTATTTATAAGGACACTAGTGATGTTGGATTAGGACCTAGCCCAATAACACCATTTTAACTTGATTATCTCTGTAAAGACCTTATTTCTAAATAAGGTCAATTTCTGAGGTACTGGTCGTTAGGATTTCTGCATATCTTTTGGTTAGGGGAGGACAGCTATTCAACCCATAACAAACTTAAAAGTCCATCAATAGTGAAAATAGAATTCTCCATCCTTATAATGGACCACACTATGGTTATAAAAAAAGAGAGAGGGAGACCCAATGACCTAGAAATATAGGTCTGGAATATATTACTAAATGAAAAAGG